GTTATAATACAGGATTTTAAATGTTTTAGGAAGGCATTGTTTGGGTATGTTAGTACAAAGTAAGTTTTGCAATGTATTCACCTTTTCTAACTGGCTACATACTATTAGTGTAGGTAGAAATGTTCATTTTCGTAATCATATTAGTATAATTTTGAGCCTGATGAGGTTATTGATAACTGCTAACATATTTTAAAATGCTGGTTGCTGTGCAATCGGGAGAAAGCTGTCATCAAAGCGTGCGTCAAAAGGCAGCCTGTTTTCATCATTTTCTCTTTCGTGGCTGCCTTCTGCAGCGTTCCTTGCACCCACTGCTGAAGCAGCTAACGTTGATTCTTTGTAGCGTGAGGCAAAAGGGGTTTCCGTAATTCACGTCGTCTTCACAACTGAGATTTGTGAAGGAGGACTGCAAAGAAGGTCTTAGAATACTTAGACACTTGTTCAGGTTTCTTGGAAATCATATTCCCCTGAAATGTGTTAGGTCAGTGAAGCAAATACCCTGCAAAAACTGTAACCAACTAATTTTATTATTAAGCATTAAATTGATTTGGAACAGTTCTATGCTGAGGAACATGCTCATGAAACAGTGCTTTAGGTCAAGTAACGTCCGTGTGACGTAAAGGTTATAGAACTCAATGTAATACTACTTTTGACTTTCAAGAGCTTGTTTTTCATTACTGTGCTTGGAATTAGAGCCAAACTCCCCTCTCTGTTATGCTTGTGCCAATCCCTTTTCGTGAGAAAAATAATTCAATGCTGTAACTGTATGGAAACTTTGACTGTACTGACAACTTGAACGCAGAGTGTGGCAGAAGAGCTTGGCATGTTTTACTTAAGAAAACTAGACTGCTGGTACCGTTCTTTTTCTCAGGCTGAAAAACATCGAAAGCTATAGCATTATCGTGTTTGTGAACTGCCTCAGTTCAAGTGGACACAAAGATGAAAATGCATTATTTCCCAGCTGTTCAGAATAGTAGTAGAAAAGCTGAGGTCAGGTGATTGTTTAGGCTGGATAGGTGAATAGAGTTGTAATAGTCTAAACTGGTGCTCTAATCTGTCTTCCTGTTACTGTAATTTCCTACGTTAAACTTTGATATTACAGCAGCGCTTTAGAAACACCGCTGATCTTTTTCACCACGTATGCAACGAAGGATGCTAGACAACCAAATATATTTCATGTTAAAAGCCTTCTATTTCTTTCTTAAACCAATCTATGCTTCTTTTCATTATATAGTTCCTAACTGTATGATGCTCAGTCTAAACTAGCCATTAGGAAGGACAGAATGAAGAAAAGCATTTGCAGAATAGGAGCCGAGGCTTGCAGTAAATGGTAGTAGAATACAGCCCCCTTCCAGTTTCAATCTTTGGCATTGTATATATTGGATATTTATCACTGACTGGAGTTCTGTAATAACCGAGTTTTGCCAGTCCCATGACAAACAAATGCGATGTCACTTTCTAGTGTCAAACTTATGAATACTAAGTAAGGAGGTAATTTAATATGCAGATCAACTTGAGTTCTGTCCAAGACTTTCTGGTAGGACAACATACTTTATATTAATTTTTTTCCTGACATAACTTAGGGAATTTACTATTTCTTTCTCATGTAAACTGATGAGGATTTTTCTTTTTTGTCTTGACTTTTTTTTTTTTTTTTAAGAAGTTAGTGGTGTTATTTCAATTGACTAAATGGAAGGATAATAATTCAAAAATTAGGCATAGCAGCATTAATTAATTAAGCAGGAAAGATCTGGTTTTGCTATGCATTTCTGAATTTTAGAGCATAACTAAAAGAATTTTTTGGCATAGTTTTCAGGGATAACTTTTCCTATTGACTGATATAATAGAGTCATCACAACAGCTGCAAGGGATTGGTTACACTGCTGGAATTCATTCTGGTGCATGCTGGTTTTTTTAATGCATGCTTTTCGAAACAAAACAGTTTGATAGCAGGTGTGACCTTTAACCCTCCCTAACTTTGAAGAACTTCATCATCATCATTTGTTCAGCACTGAATATATTTTGCAGGTGGAGGAAACAGAGGGAAATGTAGTTTGATTTTGATGAGAAACGAGGGGGATGAGGAATGGTCATTGGCCAAAAATTAGCCAAAGTTAATTTTTGAAGATTCTGTCTAAAACAAGCTATAAGTTCTAATGGTAAAACATTTTTTGCTGTGTAATTACAGGGACCTAATGGAAATACAGGGCAAAGCTTGATGAAGAGACAATGAAGAGACAGATTTAAAACACGCATTTACTAAGCGAACTAATAGGTATGCAGAAGGCATCTGGAGAAGTGCCTGCATCATCCCCAGGGCGATGTCATTACACGCTGCTCTTTCCCAACAAATGTTCCTCTCACCTGTTTTCGTAGGTCTGCCGATGGCTCTGTGGCAGACTTCACAGTTCTGTATCTCACTGTCCAAGCAAACCCGTTTATTTTGGGGGTTGCCTAGTCACGTGGACGTGGTTGTCTGCATGAACCAAACTCGCCCTTTACGGAGCCATAGGGACTGCTGTAGCAGCAATGCAGCCTGGTGTATGATCTTGTGAATAGCGGTGCTCTGGCCTGTGCAGAGGAAAATATTATCCCCGTGGGAGTTAATTCTTAATTAAATCGGTCACTTATTTTTTTCAACCTTGTAGATTAACTTTGTTGTGAAAGTAGGTACTAAAATTGATTAGAAGTCTAAGTATAAGCAAAGCAATTTTATTTGTCAGCATAAACCTGAATTGCCATATAAACCTTTATGCAAGTAAATATAAATGTGAATTACAACAGCCTATACTGGCTGATGTCCTTGGATGGCTGTTGGTTGTGCCGAGTAGTTATACGGTGTTAGTGTTTGTGGTGGTAAAGCCCACTCTGACCGAGATGAGAGACGGGCTCACTTCACAAGAGACAAGCAACTATTTCCATGTTCTTTGGTGATGCATTAACGCGTGACAGGCTGGTCTGTTTAAGTATTTCTCTTCAGATACAGTCCTGTTACTGCTCACTCCAGATTCAAGTTCAGTGACTTCTGACTCTGGCATCCAGTTTCCTATCTTCCAGCCTAGCCTGGGCTGAGAGAAGTTGGTTTTGTGGTTGAGGCTGTAGATGGGGAGGCAAGAAGTTTCCTGAGCCTGCGTCAGACTCCTTTTCGGCCTCAGACAAGTTATTGTTGCAGAATCATTTCTGGAATCAGTTTATGCCTGTACGTTTCCTCAACCGTAGAGTTACTGCAACTGAAGACTGGGTGTTCTGCCTTTCTCTTCCCTTTCTCCAACTTTCTCGTGGCTGCTAGTAGCAATTTTTGCTACTGTGTGCTACTTACATTCATGTCCCAGTTAGCAGCCCCACTTGGCTGTTCAGAGCATTTCCAGACAGCAGTGAGAGACTGTTACTTTCTTACAATTCTTAAATTTCGTATCACAGTTGGATTAAAATTGCTTTATATTTCTTGACGAAACGTTCTGTAAAAGTGAGTTATTTGCTATGTCGGTTGAGACACACCATAAATGAGGAGGAGAAGTAAAAGAGGGCTTGGCCACAGTTTTTAGCTTCTCTAGATTATTTTTCCTTCCATCCTCTCCACTGGTGGAAGTGACAGTGGGAAGGTCAGCATTTATATTATTCTAGGCTGTCAGTTACACACACTTTATTTATCACCCCTTTTGCAGTCATGCTAGTTAGCAATGTTTTGAACGTGTGTCTGAAGTGATCTGTTGCTGTGGTAAGACCTGCTTTACATTAAATTGTTCTTTTTGTTTGGTGTAACAGAGCATTGACTTTTTGAGCTTTATCTTATATGGATTATTTCCCCTTTACCAATGCAGCTGCTCTGATTTAGAAGTAGATGTAGTCTAAGCAGTACTGGCACCGAGCGTGGGCACGGTTGCAGCTACCTTGAGATGATCATGCCAGCATATTGCACTCCCCTGGACTAGGATTTCACCGCAGTGTGGCAAATGTCGTTCTTCAAAGGGCAGGAAGTCTCATTCTTGAGCAGTGATTTGAAGTTTTGTGAAAATCTCTGAAGACTCCAAAGTTTGAGCTGTTAATCCTGGGGTGTGAAAACGTGTAAATCTTTACTCTTTTGGAGACCTCAGTGCAGAAATATTAAGTGACCTATTTTACGCGAGGAGCTGTTTCTTAAATCATTATTTCCTATACTTTCTAAAGAAAGAACATTAAATAAGACCTTGATGGTAAAAGTAGAATAAATTCGTAACTTACCTGAAACTATGGTTTGGTTGCATCTTCAAAATGGTTGTATGTCACATTAAAAGACAGGAAGTTCTTAAAAGGACTTGCAGGTTATTTATGGAAATTAGGGCTTCTTTTTTTCCCATCTGCTTTTAAAGTGAAGTTTATATGAAACTTAAGGATCCAGTAACTAACAACATGAAGTGCTCACTGAACAGCAGCAAATACGAATAATTTGCATTTGGGTTTGCTATCTCTTATCTGTCAAAGTAATATCATTTGTCTTAGATTTTTAATAAATAACAAAAACCCACAGATGGGTACCTTTTGTCATTCTGTTTTCCTAATTATGGAAAGACAAAAACATGGCCAAAACGTCTGTAATGGAACTACAAGAACAATTGAGAAGGTTCATGAATTGCAGTGTCGGAAGATGGTGTTTTGGTTGTCTTTCCCCATCAAATGCAAACTTTGTCATAATTTTTATGGTATTGAATTTTTATCTCATTAGTTTATTTGGTCTGTTATTAAAAATGTGAAAAGCCTCTCAAATAGTAATCCTGAAAATCAGCTGCCTCAAAATTCCACTTTTGAAAACCCAGCTGTCTTTGTAGCTATAATTATTCCCTGAATTACTTGTTTGCAGAGGCTCAATTGAATATGGTTGAATATGATTGTACTCCTTTTAAAATAATTTATATTCTTAGATATCTGATTTTTGTTGTTTATCCATGAAAGTGAAGAATTAAACAAATTGGTATATGCATGTATGTTTCACATATTTTCAATTATACTTTTTTTTTTTCCCCCAGACCAGCCAGACCATTCAAGTTACCAAAAAGGTAAGGTATATTACTGTCACATGTGAGGTTTACAAAAACATGAAGAGAGTGGATAATATGAAAGCTAAACTATTATTCTCCATTCAATACAAGATACTGGGGACATTCAGTGAAAATAGTAGGCAATTAATTAAAAAAAAATTATTTTTTAGGTCTGTCTTTGCACAGCGGATAGTGAATTTATGGAACTGCCACAGGAAGCAGTGGAGAGGCAGATAGCATTAGGTAGTTCAAAAGAGGTTGAGAAAATTTGATCTACAGCAGGTCCATAAATGAACATGAAAAGGAGTAGCCAGGGATGTGCTTTTTAACATCCTTTGTCAAAGCCCCTACGTCGTCTCTTCGTAAATAGCCTCCCCTTTTGCTACTTTTGGAGACGGAACGCTGGAGAAGAATTTTAAAGTTTAAGGCAGATTTCAGTATTCCCTTCTGGCAAGTATTTTAAGATATCTTGGGACTATAGTGAATTACATTTTCTTTGTTTACGTATATGTGTACACTGTCTGCACAAGCATAACATTTTTGTGGCTTATAACCGTTTTGATTAAGGAGTTATTCTGAGAAACTGCTTGGTTGTATCATCAATAACAATAATGCAGCTTGACAGAAACGTTCAGTTTGTGTCACCGTAATGATATTTTCTTGTTCTAAAACCAAAACAGAAAACCCAAACAATCAAAAACAGTAGTTTTGGACTATGTATACTCTGAAGAATGGCAAGATAATAGAAAACTATCGATAGAGTAACTTATTTAAAACTGTTCATGCACCTGCAATAGTGAAAAGAAACCATTTCAAGTGAAAATATGTTGAAAACGTAATCCACCTTTGGGATTTGGCCTTCAGTAAAGAACAGACATGTTCAATAAATATTTATTTCGAGTTATAAAAAATTATTCATTAATACAAATTCAGTCACTCTTCCATTGCTCGTAGTGACCTCTACTATACTGAAACTATATGTAGTATATACCTGTCTCTTTATATGAGACTGGGTAGTGGTTTAAACCGAGTATGCCTGCGTATAGGTGCTGAATCAAAAAGTGTTAACTATGCAGTTCTTACGTTGCTTAAAATGGGAAGGAAAAATAGAACACTATCTTTTTTTTTCTTTTTTAAAAATAACATCTGGGATCTGGATCACCTGTGGGCAAACTGCTTGAAACTGTTGTCTTTAGTGGTGCCAAATGAATGAGATTAACGTAGATTGAAATGCTTATTGTATCTCCCAAGTGTTTTTGGTTCTACTTAAAACATGTGAACACTTTCAAAGTGTATGGAAAACATCAGGAGGAAAGAAATAAATCCAAACTATATGTATTTGCATGCTATAAGGCAACTTAGGGGGTAGTATTGCCATTGCGACAACTAGATTGAAAGCAGGGGATGAACTGGCAGGAAAGAGACTGCAAATTCATCACTAAGTAGTTGCATAGTTTGGTAAAGAAGATGACATATCAGTGTAGCCATACGCCCAGCTAGTTGCACAACTGTAGTTTTTATGAGGCATCAAAAAGCAGGGGAATGGTATCATGATTTAGGAAAATACTGAAGTACCTGCTTAGCACTAAGGATGTGCTGCTTTCTGAATGTAAGTGATTTCTTGGCTGAGGAATGGACTTGAGCACTTTTCTGTTAGAGTCAAAAATTATCAGGCAAGTGGTCATTTACACTGAGCCTAAGTCAGAGCAGTGGCTTACTTTTCACAGAGAAAATAAAAAAGTAACTAAACACATATTATGGCTTTTTAATGCGAGCAGAGTAAAATGACTACCGTCTTTCTTGTCACTTATGCTCAGTTGGGATCTGGGCAATCTCTAGGCAACTTGGCTGGAACCAGAGCCCTCTGGCACCAAATGATACTCAGACACGTAAAATTTATATGTAGTGTGCTTAGTCCATTTAGATGTTCTAGCTCGGGTCATCTTTGCTTGTCTGAGCATGTGATACAAGAAACAGGAAAATTTTGTGGGTGTAAATACACAGTTACTGTCTTCTACATGTGGCTTATTAACATTTTAAACAGTTCACCTAGGACATAGTTTCTTTTACAGCTAGTGACTAAAGAATTTAACCAATTAAAGAGCTGCTCTGCTGAGAATGGAATCAGAGGGGTAAATCCTGCAGTCGTGATGAACAGGAAAATAAATCTTTTAGGTGTAATTTTTATGACTTCAGAGCAAGTGTCTGTAGTAGCCAGTCAATCTAGCAATCGGTGTTTATACAAAAAAACACTTAATCCTACACTTAATCCTATAAACAGGAAATTCTGTTAGGTCACCTACTTCCCCTCACTTCTAGTTTGGACAATTGCTCATTCAGCGAGCTGCCTCTTTGTGATTCCCTTTAATAACAACTAACACTTCAGATTGCTTTTCAAGCTTCCATTAATTAAGGTTCGTAACATCTTGTGTGAGAATGGTGAAAATTATTCCACATTTACCTAACGAGAAATTGAGATGCACCCAAGGCTTTGGACTCCTAAAGCTATGCTTAGGCTGCTAGACCATACCTAGCACTACCTGGTACAAAAAGTCAGGAGGCTGTTGCTGGAGTGAGGAGCTAGCTGTAGCTGTTACATCTCATCCTAGCAGTAGGACAGAAAATTTCTGTGCAGAAGATAATTGAAATGTGATTAGATAATGGGTTGGTCTGACACTGGAAAAGAACCGTAATCTTTAAGGTAGTAGAAATAAGTGCAGAGAGCACTCTACTATAAATTTACTTTTGTGTTCCATTGCGTGTAAGTTGAGGAGGAAGTAGAGTAGAAATCTTCTTGATCAATATTTAGTGTGTACAGACACTATCAGCGTAGAATGATTAATACTGTATAATTATCTTTTAAAATGCTGTATAAACTTTATGAACTTTCTGTACTCTCTTTGCTCCCAAGATTATACAATGTTACCCTTGAAACATGAGTCATATGATTTCAAGTATTCACTATAAAAAAAAAAAAAGAAATTTTAAAAAGAATAAAGAAATTAAGATTTGGGCGTTTTCTTTTCTCATACATTTTTACCAATTTAATAAAAATTAAAATCTTATGAAAATTAGATTTGTATATAAATTTTTTTTGCATTCTTACAACTTAGAAGGTATAGAGAGTTAAAAGCCAAGAAGACTTGTTTCGGAAGACTAAGTAACTAATGCTGATTAGTTTTTGCCTCATGTAGCAACTCCCCTTCACCTTTGAACTTACAACAGAGTTTATGCATTATTAGAATGTAGATTTTCAGTAATTTTTTGAAATGATGGTTTTGAATACAGAGGAAATTTTTTTCCTTTGGTTATAGGTTCTACTTTAAAATTGATTTTCCTCTTTTTAAGTACGATATTTCTCTTAAAAAGCTGAAACTTTCAAAAAGAAATGTTTTCTATCATTAAATTTTTAACGAAACATTTATTTTCCAGTGGTACCCCGGCATGGATAATATCCATGCCAAAAATGAAGTATAAAGTTAGGGAGAAGTCTTAATATCAATGATTCATGTTTAGCCTTAAACAACAGTTTCGCTTCACATATGCATTTTTAGTGCCGAGTTTCTTTTATATAAATGATTGCCACGGCAGTTTTCATTACTGAACATGTATGACAGAAATACTTATTTCAGTAACCCATAATTAGTTGTGCCTGTATCAGCACAAAGAAAATCTAAGAGAAAGCCTGCATTTTTGTCACAATCCTGAAAAAAACAATAGTACTGGTTTGATATGAACAGCTTCTCAAAGGAGTAGAAAGTTTCTATAGGGAGGAAATTTGAAAGTGATTTTTTGTATTTGTTTGCTTTCTCATTTGCGTAATAAAATGGTAGTAGAAATAAACATAGTTTCCAAATCCTTCCTACATCCACATCTGATGTCTCGCCTAATTCATTAGTTTTGTTCATGTAAACAAAACGAAGGAAGCAGGTCCGTGTTTCTGCATGGCCCTTTGCTTGCAAAGGGGTATGGATTCATTCTGGGTGTGACTTTCATTTCTCTAATGTCTTTTCATCTGCTCCTTTCCCTGTAGCTATGCCGCACTGATAGCTGACTGGCCCGTGGTGGTCCTGGGCATGTGCACTGTGCTAATAGTGGTGTGCGCTCTGGTTGGGATATTAGTGCCGGATCTTCCAGACTTCTCTGATCCATTGCTGGTAGGTAAATACTAGTCACGTATACTGTCAAATAAGTATTTTTGGAGTGCTGTTTTTTCGGTGATACCAGTAAACAGCAAACGTTAAGTACAGTTCAGTAAAATTGTTAAAATTCCTTTTAAACTGAGGTCTGCCCAGACAAAAACCCTGACTCTTAACATGCCTCAGTTTAGTGGACATCTGTGTCTAAAGTCTGCAGTGCAACCAACTCTGGGATCTAAAAGTTGAATTGGCAGATTTATCCCTTTATCATCAAAATCTGAACGTGTTTCCCCTACTATGAATCTGTGGGTATCAATTTCCATCAATTTCCAGAGCTTAGAGAAGTGCTATATGATGAATCCATGAAAAGAAGTTGAATTTAAAAGAGCCTGGTATTTCCTCTAATTAAAAAAAAAAAATAAAAATAAAAATAAAGGATTAGAACTTGACACTGGCATAGCTAGCTAACGGCGCTATAAAGAAATGGTTGCACGTTAGACACTGTTATGCACTGGTTCCAGTTACGGTGTTCTGCCAATAGCTCCTCAGTGCTCATGTGTCCTGCAACAGAACTTCTATACATTGAACAATGTAAATTCATCCCAATTTTAGATAATAGGCATAGTACAACACAGACCATACGTTCTAAATCAAGTTTCAAAGAGTGAGTGCCAGGATCTATTAAAGGAAAGGGGAGTCTAAGAGCCTTCTGGGGATGAAATCACATCCATATTGAAAGACTGAAAGTAATCTTTATCAGATTCCGTTAAATACTGGGCTCATTTCTTTCTTTTCCTGAGAGCTATGTTACCCATGAGTAACTTTCAGGACTATCATAGAAAAAACTGTATTTAGTTATTATCCTCAAATATCAATATACCATTCCTATAAGTTATTGATATATCACAGCACTGTCTATCTGTACATATACAATGTACAGTAAAGGATATTTCTTGACTGCTGATTGTCAACAGTCATTCAAGTTATAGTTGAAAGTTTCTTTTGAAATAATTAAAATATTGGCCTTATTCTTGGAGTAATCGATATACTTCAGGATTTTTTAATCATATTTGATCAATAAAGAATGATGACTAAGATACAGAAGAAGACATTCTAGAGCACCCTTGCTCTGAAAACTAAGAGTTAACGTATTAAACATTGTTATAGACTACAAAATCATCATTTCTCAGGGAGGTAAGGAGTATGCACAAGAATTCTTAATCCCTTGTCAATCCGTACAGTTGGTCATTACTTTGTCAAACTGCCTCATCGTAAAGCATTTTACATTAAGTGTAGATGCCTGCAGTAACTATGCCTCATAATGAAAACTATCCATCACTTTGATCATGTTTCTGCTCTCCCGTTGAAGCTAAAGAATGAAATGCATTAACGGAATTTCATAATATCCTGCCTTAGGGTTTTGAACCAAGAGGGACAGCAATAGGACAGAGATTGGTCACATGGAATAATATGGTGAAGAACACAGGGTACAAAGCCACACTGGCAAACTACCCTTTCAAATATGCAGATGAGCAGGCTAAAAGGTAAGAATTTGTGTTCAAAACTCATTTTATTTATTATTTTTATTGCTTAAATAGGACTTGCTGCAGTACCCTCTGAAATTAATGTGTATATGGCCACTGATTTCAATGAACACTGAATCGGATCCTCTAAATTCTTTAAGGCCTTTCATGTGAAATTAGATTTTTCCCATCACAAGCTGTTGAAAATATCTTGTCACTTTTGTTTTCTCTTTGAATTTTGAGTATTTTTCAATACTAGGCTCAATGTAATTTCCTTTGAAGTCTCTAAAAAACAAAAAGTATAATGAATATTTCAGTTTTTGAATACTGAAGTCACATTAACAAAAAAATACATATGTTTTCTAATGCAAGAGTTATGAAGAGGCGTGACTAGTTTGGGTACTCCTTTTAACATCTCTTGGCTAAGAGAAGGTAAAACTATTTATCCTGTTTTAGTCATCAGGATGACAGATGGTCAGATGATCACTATGAGAGAGAGAAGAGGCAAGCAGACTGGAACTTCCACAAAGATACCTTTTTCTGCGATATCCCAAGTAAGTGGAGAAATGATATAATGAAGCCTAAAGCCTTATGCCAGTTCAATGAATTTTGAACTCTTCTTTATGTTGTATGCCTTAGTATTAGGAAAATATTTCTTGCTTGGTATATTCCTGATAAGTACCGTCTTCATGTGTGCAGAAGCCTTTGAAGGAATCAGCCTAAATTGTTGTATTCTATTGTTACTTCTTAGGAAGCAACTGTGCTTCCTTAAAGTGCTTTCTTTAAGTGGTTCCATTTCCTTTAAAGCTTTTTATGAGTTGCTAATAATACTGATCATTGTAAAAGCGGTATCTCTAATATATATGAATACAGAAGTTGCACCTAATTCACTCCATTAAGAAAGAAGTTGTGTTTTATCTGCGCCATCAACATAAATCTAAAAAAATCTAAACCAAAATACTTTTCCCCTTTATGTTTTAAGGAGGCTCTTATCTGAAAAGTATCCACGGGTCACATCCTGTCCAGGATTTAGGGTTTAAAATAAAGAAACAAAAAAAAATCTTAAAAATCAAAGTCCTGCGAATATGTTTAGCTTCAACTAAAGAGGTTATTTTGACTAAACTTCTCACAAGACATAATGCAAAACTTTGGTAAGTCCCGTTCTGACAGAGAGCATGCATTAGCAGATGTAGATCTTGCCCTTTTTCATAGAATGCCTTGGGACTTGGGCTTTTTGCTGCTACGTCAATATGTGAGCTGCTGCTTCAATATGTGAGCACTGATTACAACGTGAAAGCATAATGGTGTAATTGTTTGTTTACATTACTTAATCTGAGAGAGCAGTAACTGCTACAAAGCAGAGGTGAAAAATAGATTTATGATTTTTTCAATTACAGTAAGGTCTTACATCTAATATAAGTGAGAGGAAGTGCACAAGGACATCAGTTCTGCTCCTATGAGCAGAACTGAATTAGACTAATTAGACCTCTCATAAGGATGAGGAAACTCTACTGAGCATTAACTATAGCTTGAAGCAGAATTAACTGCTCTTATCCTGCCCGCTGTTTTTTGTGTTTTAAGTCTCATTCTTTCCACTACTGTTTCTGCATAGTCTCAGTCCTAGCAGTCATGACAGAATTATGCTTCTATGGGAAGGTTTGCCAGCACATTATGTAAAGAAAACAGTTTATTTCCTCTTGACCAGTACTTATCATCCCTGGTGCCTGTCTTTGTCTGCTCCAGGATCAGCTGATTTCAGCTTCCCTGATCCTAAAGGACTGTCAAAGATCTTAAAGCACTGCTCCTGAGTCTTTTGGTTATAGCTCTCTGAGAGGCAGCAATTCTGACCATTAACAACAGAGGGAAAAATTCAGCCTCTTGGTACTTGAAACATTGTAATTACCCTGATAACGTTTCTTAACCCAAAGTACCATATTGTGCTACACAGTACCGTGTATTTGTGCATCTGTGTATGTTTCCCTCATTAGCTGTGCATGATAGTCTTGCTGCTACTAAGTAATATTTTCTTTCCTAAAAGCTATCTCCTAATAAACATGATTTAATTTGTAATTTAAGCTGTGTGTGTGTCTAAACTGTAGAGTTCTTTACAAATGGCCTCAAGGATATCACAACAATTTCCACTGCAGTCATTTGCTTCTGAAGCAAAAACATTCTTGTAGAAACGTCCTTATAATTAGTATTTATATTCCCAAATGTCTTACTGAATCAGCCTGTGATTACTATTATCTGTGTGCTACCGTTATGCTGTGCCAAGAATTTCATAGTTTGCTGATTAGATCTTTTGATTTTCATGTGTTTGCCATATTTCAGAAGATGATTTGCTTGAATAGAAGTCTGTAGAACTTCTAAGTGGTAAATACCACTTAAGATGCCATATTTACTATAAGCACTGTAAGGAAACTGAAACTTTCATGTGGGCTGAATCTTACGGATGAAGAGACCCTCTTGAGAAGAAGGTGGATTCCCGTGATCTGAAAAAGATCCCATCTGTATCATTTGAATGGTGGGATTTTGCTTCAGTCTTTGATACCAGACATGTCTGAATAATCCATAAACCCTCCTACTATAATTTCAGGTGATCGCTATTCACGAGTGGTATTTACTTCAACAGAGGGAGAGAATTTATGGAATTTGAATGCAATTAAGTCAATGTGCAATGTAGATAACTTGAGGGTAAGTAAAAATGGTCTTTAATAATGTTTAATATGCTGATATGAAGTATGTATTTCAAGTTTGTGTTGCTGCCCATTACGAACAGATAGTATATGAGAGCATTTCACATTGTCCACATCCTTGTATGGTGGTCAATCTGTATGCAGAGGAAGTTAACAAACAGCTTTCAATTTATCTAGTCAGATTATACACGGGAATTTCTTTGGATTTTGTTGCTAACATCGTCCAGATTCCAGAATAGGGCAGGCTAAGGTTTCTTCAGAAGTTTCAATACAGAATGATTGGAGGAACTTTACTTTTGCTGTGTGTTTCCTCTTGGAATATTATTCCATGGATTTTTGTTCATGTTTCTCAGAAAATATTTCAGTTTTCCTTGCTTTTTCTCTGCTGCATCTTCATGGTATATGCAGTTTTCTCTGACAGCCAGGGGGTCCTTAGATTTATGATGTCAAAAGACAATAGGTTAGCAGCTGGATGTCAAAGGAACGTAGATACAGTATCTAGACAAATAGCACAATTAGATCTAGAGTTATATTAAATTTTTTTTTTCTTAGACTGAGAAAATGAAAGATATTTTGGCCTTGTCCACCTGGTCCAGCTGTAATTTTCCTTGGGCAGTGTACATATGGCTTTCCTTACGCTCAGTACCTTCCATAGCCAAAACGACCAGTATAATAGCCAGCCTCAGGGGCTATTGTAGCTTCTTTTGCATGTTTTAGAAGACAGCTTAGCACACTGTTGAAATTATATCTGGTTTCAACTAATGGATGTTAACTGATGCAGGCTAAAATAAATGAAGCATTCAGGTAGCACGTTTCTAAAAATACAAGCTTGTGACTTACTGCAAATCAGTACATTTTTTTATTTGAATTACTGTGCAACCATATCTTTTGTGTCCTAGTGGCCTCTTATGGAAATTAATTACACAGTAAGTTTTTCTTCTATTAATAACGATCTGTTGATTTCCTGATAAGAAACTTTTTTTTCTGCCTCCAAAGCCGAAATTATCGCAAACAATTAGCATAATAAACACACCACATGTATTTCATGAGGAGTATTTGTTATATTTGTTTATTGTTGCATTTCCGACAACTGTCCTAATGTAGCAAATTCCCAAACTCTTTTCCCTAACCGCTGGCATTTGTTTGCATAAAATATTGAGCTGTACTGAAGCACTGTATGGTGAATCTCCCTCTAAGTCTTTTGACACAGAATTTGTTCCGGTTGGCCTCTTTTGCTGTAAGTGGTTATTGTCCTCACGTGCTCCCGCGTTGTTCCTCATTTCCCCACCAGAGAATCTTGCACTAGCAGGAGGGCCGGTGTGGTTACCCTTCATCTCTTTCAATCAAAAAGAGCCAGGTGAGCAAAAGGCAGTATTTAGTCCAATCTGGCTCCCTTTGAGTGAAATGAGCTAGGGAGCAATCACGGGAGTGATTCAGTCGGAAGAGAGAGCTGAGAATAGCCTTTTGCAAGGGGAAAAATTAGGGGAGTTAAGTAGGAGATGCCCATCTGTGCACATATACCTGTAAAAGTTTAATCACGTGGACAGCTGGTGCAGGTGAATCTCACATATTATAGATCATTGTAAAGCACTTCAGCATAAATAAAAAAGAAAAATATTATTTTTGTATAACAGAATGAAATCAGTGAATTACCTCTGAAGAATAGTCTTTGTAATGATTATATTACTCCTGAGGAATTCATCTTTTTTGCCTTGTATGTACACATGTACACTTTTATAATAAAGCATTATTTCACCTACCACTTTACAAAAGACGAAAGAGTGATGAAATCACTCAAGAGGAAACTGCTTTAAAGAGCAAGCACCATCCATCTTGACTCCACAGAAATACCTCTTCCTTTGAAATAAGAATACTTGAGAAACGGGAATGTTGGCAACTTCAGCTGCACCCAGAGTTGTGTAGATTCTTATAAAGAATATTTGTTGCAGATAATGTTTCCACTGATCTTTTTTGCAACTTAGAACTTAGGGCTTTACTTAAGAATATCATAATCGGGCACCTTAACCAAGCAGGACAGAAGAAGCTGAAGCTTTTTTCATTAAAATTTAAAAAGCGCTTGTTATTACTTACTTACATATGGTATTTCACTTTCTGGAACTCCTGAAGTGCTGAGATATACCCCACTTCTGAATGCTACATTCTTCTGCTAACATCCCGTCTCCCGAAAGGATGCTCACTTGCCCTGCAGCTATCAGAAAAAATAGATGACTTCAGTGACCTTGTGGTCTTACAGACTCTCTTTTGTAGTTATTTCTTTGTTGTTGAATTCATGCTTGCTTTGGGGCACAGTTCTCGTTCTGTTTAAAAAAGTAGCAAAACTTCCCATATTCAAAGTCAAGAAAATTAGGCACTACGTTTTCTGGGGGTGTGAACCGTAGGGTTTATATATTTTTCTAATGATGAGTTGGATTTCTGTGCCAACTATTATTTGCTTAAAAATAAGCTATCGGTAAAAATCCCCTGTGTGTTGATTGCATTCCCATCTGCTCATAACTACTTTAACTGTATGTTTTACTGACACTTAGGGGCTTCATCCTGCAGCTGCTGAGCACATGGTAATCCTATAATCTTCATGGAAACACTATGTACAAAATAGCTGTGGAAGGTGTTCTAATTTTTAATTATGTGGATAAGAGTCCTTTCTTTTACACATTAATCACAGAGTGTTTTCTCTATAAAGCACAAACATTTATTTTATAAACTTCAAAGACTGTAAATGATTTCCCCAGCCTGCTGCCCCAAAAACGTGTGTTTGTGCTTCTCTGTCACTGCACAGATCCATTTGGCAAGGAGGTCTGGCTGCAGGTACAGCATGTGCACAGGATGCACAGTTTTGTTCCTTTAGTTGTCCTGAAATGAATGAAAACACTGCCAGTGGCAGACCTATTCCGGCAACAGCAAAATGGCTTTGGATCACTAGCAAAGTAGGGCCCAATACTACAATGTATTAGCATTTTACACAGTATGTTAATGTTATCGGCAGCTAAATTTTGTATTTCAGCTTCTAAGTTACAGCTGCCTGCTCGTGTTGCTTTGTCTTTGGCAACAGTTGCTTTACCAGTGAATGTCCATGGCCTGCAGCAAGTATTGAAGAATAGCGTATAAACCTCATTGTCCCATTTTGAACTTGAATATGCAGAGAAGACAATACAATCCTTTCCTCCCAATTTGTCTGCCTGACCCCTAGGGTGTGCATATTATATCCTCCTAGGATAAACCTGGAGATGTGCCATGAAAAATACAGATATGCTATTGCAGTGCTTCCTTTTATTTAGTAGGTTGTTCGGTTTTTCCTGAGTTTGCATGTGTGAGTGTTTTTATCTGGAAACAATCAAATGTGAATTATCCTGTTTTTTTGGAATGCCAGTTTGTTCTTGTTCAGAAACTGTTTGACAAAATTAAGTCCATGTTAAAACTTATATAACTGCCAGGAGAATCCCCGAGTGCAGTTTTTTGTCTGCATTATAAATGGCTGCTAGTAATAAACCTGCGCAATTTTGCTAAAAAAGCAAAGTAATTTATTAAATCCAGCTGATCAGAAATATGCATGGATAATGATATTAGGGCCCAAATCCTGAAAACCCTTCACCACACAGCTTTATTAATGTAACTTTATTAATATGTGCTTATTACCTGTAACTTGATTAATAGATAGAAATTTTACATATACCTAAATATTTGAAAGACTAATTCTAATCTGTCATACATAACAAGCCAGAAGTTTTGTTTAGCAGCATGCCCATGAAGTTTTTGAGACTTAAATTCCTTGTGCCTTATCAAGTCCGTGGGTTTTATATACTAGAGGAAATTTCCCTGAGCTAACCTTGTTAGCTAAGAGATTCATGTATTTTACAGACATACTCAATTTTGCTTAAAAGTGCCTTATGGTGATTTAGCAAAGTCCTATTCTTACTGGCTTCAACTAAATCTAGAACAGTCTTGAGGAAGAGTATCCACATAAGAGATTAACGCTCATTTAGCTAAGGGGATTTCTTAACCAAAATATTGGTTGCGATTCATGCTGCCACAGGATTTTTCTCCTGCTCCTTCACTACTGAGGTGACCTTCAGGACTTTGCACGGGCAGGTGCAGCTTTCCGAGGTGTGAGGTCTGTCTCTGTGCAGCCAGGCTCAGTTTGGAGGGTTTTGTGCTACGTTTGATTATCCTGTGCTTGTGCTGTGGAAACTGCTGGCTCAGGGACATGCAGTGCAACGTGATAGGCTGACTTATTTGGGGGAAATGTCTGTCAGCTGTATGAGAGCAAAAAAGGCTCACAAAGAGGGTTGTAGAAGAGAGCCCAGATGATGGAAGTCGTTGTTGTAAAGCTGTCACGTCCCTTCTTTCTGGATGGTAAATCCCTGCCTCTCCTAGAAACTTCCGTATGTGATTTCAAGCAGAATGAAACTTTTTAAATGTTCGACTGGCTGTTTATTTTCAGGACTGTAGCGTGAGATAACAGAGGAGAGAAACGATCCTCAATCTGGAAGAAAACTCAATGCGTCTTCAAACAATAGACTAGAGTTACTCCTGTGCAATATTCTTATCTCTTCTGCCAATTTTATGCTGCTGTGACAGTTCGGTAGAGTTGCTGCTGATTTAGCCTGGTGTACATAAGGGGATGCAGACCAAACACTATGTGTGGAAATAAGAATTTAAAATATTAACACAAAATGACTGTAAGCTGGGTTTTCATCACACTTAGATTTTTTGTGTGTGAACGTTTCTAATTTCAAAATACCATTCAGACTCTCACTTTAAAATGGATTTTTGCCCTGCCTGTCTTTATACAGATCAGATCCCATTCCCAATTTGGCGATCTCTGCCAGCGAGCCACTGCTGCTTCGTGCTGTCCCAGCTGGACACTGGGCAACTATATTGCCATTTTAAACAACAGATCATCATGTCAAAAAATTGTAGAACGAGACGTCTCTCACACCCTAAAGCTGCTTCGCACATGTGCCAAATACTACTACAATGGGACCCTGGGACCAGACTGCTGGGACATGAATGCCAAAAGGAAGGACCAACTCAAGTGTACAAACGTGCCTCGTAAATGTACAAAGTACAATGCTGTTTACCAGATCCTCCACTATCTAGTGGACAAGGATTTTCTAAGCCCAAAGACAGCTGACTATGTCTTACCAGCTTTAAAATATAGCATGCTCTTCTCTCCAACTGAGAAAGGAGAAAGCATGATGAATATTTACCTGGATAACTTTGAGAACTGGAACTCTTC